TTCTAAAGAATGATTGGTGGTAGTAGTAAATTCAAAAGGAATTGAAAAAAAGTAATACACACTTCATAGAAATTTAACTTTTTTATATATATATTTTATATTTATTTAAAGTCCATATGTTGGGTGTACCATATCTGCTCATATGAGCTGTACCATAATACTGCCCTGTGTAAGGTTTTAGCAAAAATACTAACAAGAGAAGGAAAATGGTTTTTATTCTCTCATGCGGTGAAAAGAAAATGTAATGATACTGGTGAATTATATTTTACATTACAGTACTTTGTGTGACCGGGTGTGTGTGAGTTTCCATATGTTTTTCAGGAGAGGCAACAGAAGTATAGCTTCTCTGGTTTGTAGCCTAAATCCTCAAGGCTGCAGCTTTGGAAGTCTTTGCCCATCTGTGGAGAATTTGATGTCCTTTTAATACCGCTGTCAGGCACACGGAGCCTAGGCCAAGATGGGGAAAAGACTCCCAAAACGCTAGTCTCCATAACACACCACATGACTAGCAAATCAGGAAGTATTCTCAAATATATCATCTCACTGTATAGTTTTTTTTTTTTTGGATGAGCAAGGCAAGCCAGAAATGACCATCTGAGGAAGGTAAACAATGTTGATAAAATTTAATTTAAAGTTCTGTTACTGGTAGCCTAGCCTACCTGGAGACATTATTTTGGTTTATATAGTAGTATAAACTACCCACAGTTTCCTAGTATCATCAATTTTAGGATGCTCTGTCCAAAAAGAAGAAAAAACTTTGGGTGACGAGAGCCAGTAAACTGCAAGTAATTTTAGAAACAACGCAGGTGCAAAAATAATTAATATAAATTATTTAGGGAAATAAACATTTAATATGGAAGAAGTCCACTAGGTGGCGGTATTGCCCTAAATGTTTGCTCACATTTCAACATATTTCAAATCAGCAATAAAAGCCTTTGTTTCTGACCCTCAAATAACGCTCTATATTTCAGGATAGTCTGGCTAGAGCATGGGAACGAGTAAATGCTGAGGGGAAACCTGTTTGGTAACTTATTTGCGACTCAGTTCCTAAAAACATCGGAGATAAATTCTGACAAAATCGGACGATAGACCTAATTCGAATAGCGAAAAACAGCAGGAAGATTTAAAATGAGCCAGCAAAGGCAAGGAAGATTAAAAATTGTGAAACATGTATGCGTAATGTTTAATAAGAATAAATTTTATATTGATATTAATATTTCAAGATGTAGCCTACATTTACTAGACGGAAGCAGGTTTACTTGATTATCCATGCATCAAAATTATGTTAAAATGTAGGCCTAAATATCAGGCTTTTGAGGAACGTTTATTTGTAGGGATACATCTCTCAATCATATTGCATTGCATTGTTTTGCACCCCACAATTAAAGTTACAGAACTTTGATAATAAAATAAAGCATTTAAATATCAGCGTATATAGTGTGACATCTGATATTTATTTGCATTTTATATAGTAGTATGCTATAGGCCTATTAAAGGGGTCATATGATGCGATTAAAATTTTTCCTTTCTCTTTGGAGTGTTACAAGCTCTTGGTGCGTAAAGAAGATCTGTAAAGTTGCAAAGACTAAAGTCTCAAATGTCAACAGTTTAACCCAAATATCCAGATGTGTGCAGCACATTTTATGGAGGACTGTTTCTTGATCCTGGTAGAGTAGACTACAATGCCGGCTGTTCTGACTCACAGACTGTAAGTATGTTTTTTATATTTAAAGAATTTGTCACTGATGATTCAAATGCGAGTTTTGAGCAGTGTAGAGTAGGGCTTGTTGTTTGTCATTTCTCCGATCACAAATGCAGACATGGTTTTATGTTTACGCGTGTATAAGTCATTATAAACATTTTGGCATGTTTAGACAGTATAAGTCATTATAATCCGTAATTATGTCCCCACTGGATGCAACAAATGCCTCGTTTGTAATGGGTTTTAATGTTTTTGTCTCGTCCTCCGGCCGGGACACGGCATCACAGTATGGCGTTTCAGAAAGGCGGGGCATAGAGGAGAAACAATAATGTGCAGTATGTGGAAAAAGAATTAAAATAATTTAAAAATAATTTAAAAAATAATTTAAATAATTAAAAAATAAACACAAAATAATGTTCTTTTTAGCAACATCATATGACCCCTTTAAAAAGATCTCAATTAATTTTACATTGCAAATCTTAATTTTGCCATCAAATGTGCACTAAGTTAAATACATTTGCTCGGTTTAGACCTCTGAATAAAATGTTGGTGTCTTTTCCTTCTCAAATAGGCTATCTCCACATTCACACAAACGTATCAATATCAAATATGACAAAAAAACATTAAACACCCATGCAAACTTTTTAGATTTTATTTTATGTTTTTACTTTTTTTTGTTTACTTTTGTTAGATAAATAATTTTGTGTATGCCACTTGATAGCTCAAGTAAAATCTGGCTCCTGAAGTAAGACCAGTCAAGAAGCACTGATCTAAAGTGCTAACATACTGGCTGTGAAATAAATACACACTGCTTTTGTGAGCAGTGTGAAACAGGCCTGAGAACAAACACTTCCTCTGTGACAGTTCTGTAGCTGTGCCACAGAAGATGATCAATACAGTCTGAAATTGTATAAAATAACCACTAAAAGCCTTAGTGACAGCATCTGAACAGCAATGCCAACACTAACACCATTGTTTGTTTGTTTTTTAGCATTACTGAGATACTATAGTTTTTTTTGTTTTGTTTTAATTAGCTTTTATTTTTGTATTTTGCATTTTCATTATAATTTTAGTTAAATTTATAGCCATTTTTGTTGTTGTTGTTGTGTGTGTGTGTGTGTGTATATATATATATATATATATATAGTTTTTTTTGTTTTGTTTTTCAGGTTTTTTAGTGCATTAATTTATAGTAAATGAAAATAAGAAATGCTGCTTTGGCAGCTACCTGAAATAAAATATACTTCAGCTTGTGGGAGAACACTTATTACTCACTGTACCTTCTGAAAGGATCTCTTCCATCTGCCGTAATATGATGTATCGTTTATATTTTTGACATCAGCAGGATTTGTGCGTATGATGGACTGCCCCTTTAAAAAGGACTATTAGTCTTCTACAGCTTGTTAAACAGACTTGTCTCTGATTGCAAAACTTTGTGTAAATTAAGATGACACATTCTACATTTAATGAGTCAGAGAATCACACAAGCAACCATTGTGAACGCCAGCTGCAATTTCATGATAATTATTGCAATAGGAAATTGAAAAAAAAAGAGACTGACTAAAAGGGACATTTAATAAAAAACATTTTGAAAAAGCATCTATTGACAGTATAATTAGCTCCTCAAGAATTCATAGCTGAAGCAATGTAACTTTTATGAATATAACAATGCTAAATCTATTAAAAAAAGGTTATTTTTGTATTTATTTATTTATTTTACAGGTGTTTTACCTGTATTTTGAATTTTACACTGTATTGTGTTGTGTTTTAGAGCTGTCCATAAAATTAATGGATAATGTTCTGGTAATGAGCTGCCACTACTTTCTGTTATTTTACAAATTTATTTCTTGTAAAGACTCTTTCTACACTCATCTCACATTTAAGGGAGCTAATTACTTTTCAAGTGCAGTGCCACACCAGGTTATGTACATTGACATTTTTATTTTTATACTGTTGAATGATTCTCTGGCATGGTGTATGAAAAAGCAGGCCCCCAAACAATAATCTTGCTTTTCACATCATTCACGGAGTATGATTTTGGACACTGCTCAACCACTGCCCCAATTTGTTATTCTTCCAAGTTTGGTTATTTTCAGCAATCTTAAGAAAACAAGCATTCAAAGATGTCAAAATATGAATCCTTAAACAGTCTTGCAAACAGCAAAAAATATCAAGCAAGTTTTCAAGAAGAGACAAAATAAAAAAGTCTAGCAAACTAACTAAATACATGTACATTGTGAATTAATGTGCAACGCATGTAAGAGGTTTTATGGCTGAATGAGACTTTGTGTGATGTAGATTGCAGACATATGTATATGTGTTCTATGATCTTTCTGTCCTCTAGTGGTTATGATATGCAAGTAAAATAGGTTTTTCGTCAAGCGCAAACTCAGGCAGGATGATAATTTTTCAGTTTATATAACGTGATGATGTATTGGAATACTATATTATTAAAACAGATAATGTCAATATTATACACATAGTTAATATGTGTTTAACCTCTATTAGGGACATTTATTTTTAAAGAAAGAAAGAGTCACTATAATGTCCAGAAGGATATCTGTGTTTATTTGACCCTTAATTCCAGTATTGCAGCTGTAAATTCGGTAGCCTGTCCAATAAACGTCAATTATACAACTATGAGAAGATATGTATGAAATAAACGAACTCTAAAGCTATAACTAAATGTTAAACATAGCTACGGTTTAATACGTGACGTGTTTCCTGTAATGTTATGAGTGACTGTCATTACGGGATATGTTGCGGTGTGTCCCGGGTGGTAAGTAGGAAACACCGCTGTGTTCATGCAGGGGCATCGGAGGGAGGCCCAGATCACCGATTGCTCCGTTGATCCGCATTCAAATCTCAGATCGTGTTTTGTACACTAAAAAGTAAAATTACTTAATCCTATAGGTTTCAAAGAGTGTAACCTAACACAAAAGTGAAAATTCACCTCAGCGGCCGATAGAAAACCATTTAAAAACACTTTATCGTGTAATCACAAACGAATATGATTGGTTCCCCAAAACCAGCGCTGAGAAAAGTAATAGCTACCACGTGACAACGTCGTCGAGGATCTATTTTAGCAGCGGTATGGACAACAATTTACACCTACATAATAGCACTGGGAAACTGTATATTGAAATAGAATTTAAAAATAAACAGTTCAATTTGTTAGATTACGAGAATGATTATTTCGATCCTTCGTGACGTTTATAAGCTCCGCCCCTTTCGAAACTTCTGTCCCATGCTATTGGTCATTCTATCTATTTCTTCTGTTTTTGCGTTTGTCCTGATAAGAAAAAATGCAGCCCACTTGGGCGGACCTCAAGTTTATCTTTTGGCATGTAGTTCGCCAGACATGAACCCTAACGCACAGTAATCATGCCGTGTTCTGCCTTCACAACTCATGTACTTTGCTGTCTTTGTCTTTGGGGTATGTATGATATTCCTTTAATTATGTAGAAATATGTTTTATTCCTTAATGCATGTAATTATAAAGCATATTTGCGCTGAAAGATTTAACCGTTCGCTTTTGTCTAGTTTGTGAATTTATTTATATTTATTTACATTCCTGCGAATGGGATACTCATAAAATAGTAGGCTATACAGTGTGATGGAGGAACTTTTCTGTTCTTTTGGTTAATTTGATAGAAAAATGCAGTTTTATATATTTGTCACTTTTATTGTGTTCTTTTAATTACATTTACTTATTGTTTTTATTACTTTTATTAATTGTTTTTATGAATTTTAAATGTGGGAAAATAAGATTTTTACAACATGATTTGAGTAGTATAATATACAGTAACATACAGACACTGTTTAAAGGTAATTTGTGGCCAGTAAGTTGATCCTTAATTAGGACTATGAAACCTATTTATCTTTATAGAATGCTGTTAACGTTTGTGGGTGGTATTGATAGTGCATTTATGAAATATCAAAATATCTTTTGATTCTTCATCAGGATGTGTGGCAGAGAGTATTCATACATTACCTCATGTGGAGCGGTTTGATGTGGTGAGACCTAAAAGACAGAGCGTCAGAAAGGTACCTCCATTTACAACCTGGATCTTACTGTTACAGCAGCAATTAAACTTTTTTATATATTTGTAGTTTTAGGATAAAAGCAACCATAGGGTTGTGTTGTTTATGTGTGGATTAACACATCAGTCCTCTGCAGGTACATTCTGATAAAAGTCCACAAAGCCATGAGACGTATCCTGATAGACTCACATATAAATTATTCTTTGGAGGGAAAAATCATGTGATTCATTTGGAAAAGAACAGGTGAGTGTTGTGTTTGGGTGTATTATCTTGGAGCTTTCTGTACATTTCATTTTGATGTTTAATAGTATGAAATACACCATTGTACTCTAAGGCTGTCCTAAATAAATGTTTACTGTAATTTAGGCAACTCATTGGACATAATTACACTGAAATATGCTATCAAGATGATGGACTGATTGTGAGCAGTAATCCAAATTTAAAGGTAACTTAAATTTTACTGTAATTTATCAATAACTACGATCAGAACAGCATACTTGCATATGTCCTTGCATACTATTCCTGCAGGATAGGGCATATCGCATATTGTGTCGTTTTTGCTAGTATTCAGAACATTTAAGTCATGTCAGACTGACTGAAGTTCCCTTATTTAAGCTGGAAATAATATGATCAGTTAAGTACAGAAAATAAAAATCTATCAATTGTGTGTCATTTGTAGGACAATTGCTACTATCATGGCCATATTCAGGATTTGGAAGATTCCTCAGTCAGTGTGGGAATCTGTTCTGGAATCAGGTTTGAGACAATGGCATGCTCCTTTTACATCAAGTTCATTACAAGATGCTTTTCATACATTTTCTAATGGAAATGCACAAGTATTAGATTCCATATTTGTAGGAAGGATCTTGAGAAGCAGCATTATGTTATCTGTCCATAGAGGTTTTGTTCGAGTGAAACAGCAAGTATACCTGATTGAGCCCCTGACCAACCACAGTGATGGAGACCATGCACTTTATAAGCATGAACATCTGAGGTGGAAGAGAAGCTCATGTGGTGAACCAAGCTCTACCGTTTATGACCATGAAAAACCAGTGGCTGTCCCCTTAAAGTCCACCAGATGGGTAATAACATTTCCATCGCAATTCTAGCAACTGTTCTGCATATGAAAGAAATTATGCATAGATTTTAAATCATTGATATATTCTCTTAGAAAACAAAGCGATTTCACACTCCAAGATATGTGGAATTGTTTCTTGTGGTGGATAACACTGAGGTACAAATTTAAGCTTTCACAAACTTGTAGTTATTAGCAGTCAACTGTTATTGGTTTTTCACTGACTGATGGTTATGCTAATATCTGATGGAATATAATACAATAAGAAAATTAGATTTAAAAAAATGCTGAAGCATTCAATACAGTAATATATTTTAAACCCTTCTCTTCATAGTGAAGCAAATACTACTGGTCAATACAAAAGCTAAAAGGAAAAACTTCCAAAAAAAGACAAACATGATTGCTATGTTTTTCTCTTATAGTACAGAAACTTTGGGTCTAACATGGACATAATCAGACCCAGGATGCTGGAAGTTGCAAATCATGTTGACAAGGTATATTCATATGATCATATATCTTAATCATATATCTTAATAGAGTTAACCTTACAAATATAGTATTTACTTGTGTGATATGTGAAAATCAGTTAATAAATGTCTTAAGGAAATGCAAGAGAGTGAACACTTTATTCTTTGCTCAGTTGTATCGACCCCTTAATATCCGGGTTATGCTGGTTGGTCTTGAGGTCTGGATGAAACGCGACCAGATTGTGGTCAGTGTGAGTTCTGATGACACTCTCAGTCGGTTTATTGAGTGGAGAAAGAGCAATCTGCTTAAAAGAGTCAAACATGACAACGCTCAGTTTGTGACGTGAGTATGACCTAGTTACCCATTTATTCTGCTGGATGACTAAGACCTTCAATACACTATAGCAGAAACTAGTCCACTTCAATATATTTTACTACACTTTACTTATTTGTTGTCATTAGTTAACTACATTATGAATTAGCAATGAACAATACTGCTAAAGCGTTTATTAAAAATATTTAATAGTAATTTCAACATGTGCTTCTACATTAGTTCATGCAATGAACAATATATTTTTATTAACTAACATTAACTAAGAATAATATATTCTGTAAAAAATATTTCTCATTATTTAATGTTAGCTTATGCATTAACTGATGTCAACAAATGCAAGCATATTGTAAAGTGTTAAAAATATACCTTTATTTTACATTAGTACACTAATAATTAATCTTTTATTGTTCTGTTTTATTTATTGATTTCACTTTCCAGTGGAATTGATTTTTTGAATGACACAGTTGGGCTGGCAAACAAATTTGCAATGTGTGCTGAAAGCTCAGCGGGAGTCAATCAGGTAATTATGATCTGCGTTAGTGATGATTTTCTGGTAGCAAATTATCTCCTATATTCGAACAATAAAGATTCTTTCTTGAAAGGCATAGTATAATTGCATAAATGGTTATATGTTGTTATTTTTTAGGATCATAATCAGAACTCACTAGGCCTGGCATCCACAATCGCTCATGAGATGGGTCATAATATGGGCATGTCCCATGATGAAAATCACTGCACCTGTGGCTCATCAAATTTCAATTCCATCTGTATCATGACAGAACGTGTAGGGTAAGCAGTATTTGTGAAACGTTACACTGTGTTTTAAATTTTTGCTTTGGTCAGATGTCAGATCTGTCTTAGATTATATTATGTTCAAGTGCATTAAAAAAAAAATATTCTTTTAAGGTTTAAAGTACACTACCAAGTGCACATTCAGTGAAATTATGTGCACTACTTCACAAGGGTAGTAATGCAAGTGTATAAAACTCTTTGAACCTTTAAACTTCACTATCCTGAAAACACAATGTGAGCCTTCTGTTGCAGTTAGATAAACAAACAATAAAATATGTGGTCTACTCTGCCTTTTGTAACTCTTTGATGTCCTTTTTTAATGAGAAAATACATAAGATCCACCAGCATCTAGGTTCAAACTCCTCCCTCAGCACTTCCTCTGATTTCTGGCCAATATCTTACTTATTTTCTGCTTTTCAGCTTCCCACTGCCACAGATATTTCAGTTCTCATTCATAAGTCAAAGTCTTCCACTTGTTCGCTGGACCCTCTTCCCACTGTTTTGGTTAAAGTCTGCCTCCCCTCTCTGTTTCCCCTCATTTTTGCTATCATTTGCTCTTCACTCACTACTGGAATACTGAAAACTGCTGCCATTACTCCAATATTGAAAAAATCTGGTGACGATCCTAATAATTTCAATAATTTCCGTCCCATCTCCAATTTACCCTTCCTTTCCAAAATCCTTGAAAAAATAGTTGCTACTCAACTTCACTCTCATCTAACTTGTAATAACATGTACAAACAATTCCAGTCTGGTTTCCGCCCCTTTCATAGTACAGAAACAGCACTTATAAAAATCACTAATGACCTCCTTATGGCAGCTGATTCTGGTTTAGTCACTATTCTCAGCCTCCTTGATCTAAGTGCAGCCTTTGACACCATTTCTCACACCATCCTTCTCAATAGACTAATCTCTATTGGCATCACTCACACCTCTTTAGATTGGTTTAAATCTTATCTTTCAGATCGCACTCAGTTCGTCCAGTTACAATTTTTTTAGTTCCCAACCTTCCCCCGTTAACACTGGTGTGCCTCAGGGCTCTGTCCTGGGACCCCTTCTTTTCATCATTTACCTTCTTCCTCTTAGCAATATCTTTCATAAATACGACATCCTATTCCACTGTTACGCGGATGACACCCAACATCACCCGGTCCGCTTATTTTCATCTACATAATATTAACCGCCTTCACCCCTCCCCTACCCCTCATACTACTGCTATTCTTGTTTATAGTCTTGTCATTTCCCGTATTGGTTATTGTAATTCTCTTCTCTTTGGTCTTCCTCACAAATCCCTCTTAAAGTTTCAATTGCTTAAAAACTCAGCAGCCCTTATTATCGCCACACTGCAAAAAATGGCTTATCTTACTTAGTATTTTTGCCTTGTTTCTAGTCAAAATATCAAAAAATTAGTCTTGTTTCCAGGGGGAAAAAACTAAATTAAGTGCATTTAGCTTAAAACAAGTTAAATGATCTGCCAGTGGGGTAAGTAAAATATTCTTAAAACAAGAGCATTTTACTTACCCCACTGGCAGATAATTTTACTTGTTTTAAGCAAAATGCACTTAATTTAGTTTTTCCCCCTGGAAACAAGACTAAATATCTTAAGTCAATTGGCTTATCTAGTAAAAGTATCTTGATTTAAGAATTTTTAGATATTTTGACTAGAAACAAGTAAGTAAGTAATACTAAGTAAGATAAGCCATTTTTTGCAGTGCAGAATCCCCTCCTTTCACCACATCACACCTGTACTGCAGCAGCTTTACTGGTTTCCGGTTAAATTTCGCATTGACTTTAAAAGATTTAAGCTTCTAAGCGACTTAAGTCTCACTTGTTTAAGATTGCATATCTCACCTAAATTTTATTTGTCCAGTCCTACTTTACTCTGTTTTTGTCTCTGTATATGGTATTTCTTGTTTGTTTTCAATCGTCTTGTTCGTAAATTTATTGTGCGGTGTCCTTGAGTGTTGAGAAATGTGCCTATAAATAAAATGTATTATTATTATTATTAGTAGTAGCAGTTTATAGTGTGCACTGTCCGAAAATGACATGCTCTGACCTTGTCTATCTAGCACGCTGTTCCCGGAGCTGTTTAGTGACTGTAGTCTGGAGCAGCTGAGTGTGTTTCTAGACAATGCCAACCCCAGCTGCCTGCTGGACACCCCCAGCTCATCCAGACTGTACAGTGGGTCTATCTGTGGTAATGCTTTTCTGGACCCTGGAGAGGAGTGTGACTGTGGAACAGTCGAGGTATTGCACACATATCCTGTGTCTGTAGTGACTCAGTCTAGCCCAGCTGATCTAGCTCAAATGATCCTTTTCTATGACATCATTTATGCATTAATGTAGGATCATCTTTGACTCACATCTGATGTCTCATTGATGACTGTGATTTAATGTTTTGTGTAAGGAATGTGAAAATCCATGCTGTGATCCCATGACCTGCAGGCTCACTGAAGGCTCACAATGTGTTCATGGAGACTGCTGTGAGAATTGCCAGGTAAGTGACTCTTATGAAAACTCTTCATGGCCTTCTTCATTTTTTTTTAAAGAAATTTGCACTATGAACATACGTTTTAGAATAGATCTTTATTAAAGGAATAGTTCACCCAAAAATGAAAATTCTCTCAGTTCAACCTCCTTCAAAGAAGAGGTGACTCTGGTGGGACTCAAACCCACAACATTTGATCTGCCTCATTTTACAGTCTAGAAATCTGCTACCCATTGTACCACAGAACCTACTTTTCTTCCTGACTTTTGTATGACCAACATTGTGGCAAAAAAGAGACTTCCTTGAGTCTCGGCAGAATAGAAGCTAGATTTAGAATGTCGAAGCACTATTATTTCCTAGAGTGGGAGAGCAAAGTCACTGATAGAGGCGCACCGTTGGGATTGGAACCCAGGATGTGTAAACCAGACTGGGCTGCTGCCTTTGACTTGTCATATAGTGTGGGCAGCATAAAAGAGTTTTCAAATGTCACGCAAGCTTCTGTTTCAGGCGTTTTTTGTTTTTAGGGTGGGAGGTGGGTGGTGCAAAATGCACTCACGAAATTGCCAGAAGTCACGACTCTGATGGAACTGGTGGGCCTCCTTTCCTAGAGTGAGGTACCACTGGGATTTGAACCCAGGATCTGAAAATCAGTCTGGACTGCTACTGTTGACCCTCGTGTATTGGTGCTTGTTTGTCCATCTCATGGAGGAGCATGATAGACATCATAAGTTCCACTGGGATTTGAACCTAGAATCTTATGTTTACAAGACACACACTTGAACCAACTGAGCTATGGCCCTGGTAGCCTCACGTAGCCAAAGCTTCAGACTCAATGGCAGAAGGTGTGGGAACCTTGGCCGATTTGAATGGCCAAGGACCACTCAAGAGCTCATATGACTGACAAATAAAGCAACAAACCACGCTTTGTTTTGTGCCGCGTCATGTTTATGGGTGTGGAAATGTCCCCACATAAACAGACCAGTGTGTAAAACTCTTGGACATATGTATTATAAATAGTCTATGCCGCGAACTTTAAACATTTCACATACTTTTGAAAATCTAGCATTTAGTTCATCCAGATAAGCGCTCACTGTCACAGTTGTAAACACAATGGCTTTGTTCTTCAATGAGGGGGTTTGGCACCATGGCATCTTTGTTTCCAGGTAGAACGTTAAAAACGCGACACACACGTCTCTCAGAAATTCTGTAGAATTCAACCAATCAGATAATGACTTCGAAATTCCTGAAGTGTTTCCAGTAAAGTGTGCCATATGCATCAGACGTTCAGCCAACAGTCCATGGGCATGACGTCTGAGGCTGAGACTATGGCCATGGAAGCCAAGGAAGGGTTACTCAGAAGAGCAAAAAATCAAGGAAGGCTTTAAAAAGGTTGTTGAAGAGCTTATAAGAGTTTGCAAATGTCATGCAGGACTCTTTTCTAGATGTATTTTTGGGTGGAGGAAGGGTGTCAAAGAAATTCCTGGTGGGACACAAACCCTCAATATGCTATCCAATGGACCACAGAGTGATTTGGACATTTGATGTTTTTTCCTCGAGGCTTTTGTATGTCCAAAACTCTGGGAATAAACACGGGACCAAAGAAAGAGACTTCCTTGAGTCCCAGCAGAATAGAAGCCTTGTTTGAAATGTTGAAGCAATATTTGGGCCTGCTTTCCTAGAGTGAGCCAGGAGAGCACCACTGACATTTGAAACAAGGATCTGTAAATCAGACTCAACTGCTGGACTTGACTTGTTATATATTGTTATATATTGTGTGGGTGGCATAAATGTCATGCAAACTTCTGTTGTTTGTTTTTTTTATGGGGGGGAGACAATCAAGTTGCCCAAAGTTACAACATTGGTGGGACCTGAACCAGCAACCTTTGCATGGCCTCATTTTGAAGTCATTACTGTGTAGTGTTAACAGTAACTCTAGATAAGTTTGTGGTTGACACTTTTTTGTTATTTCCAGCTTCTCTTTTCTCTCTTACAATGCTAGATAAAAGATGCTGAAAGCTTGTGTCGAGCACCTGAAAATGAGTGTGACATTCCAGAGTACTGCACAGGGCTCTCGGAGCACTGCCCAGAGAATGATTTTAAGATGAACGGCATACCTTGCAGCTCTGGCCAGGGTTACTGCTATAATGGCCAATGCCCCACTCACCTCCAGCACTGCCAAAGACTTTGGGGAACAGGTACGCATGAGTTTATTACCCAAAAGTCCAAAACTTCTCCAAGATCAACAGACATTTTACAAGACAGTTTCCCTAGAGTAAGTACTTTGTTCAGAAGCACAGTCAGGGTTCAAATCTGGGTTGTAGGGTTGGAAGTGCATTAAAGGGGTCATATGATGTTGCTAAAAAGAACATTATTTTGCGTATTTGGTGTAATGAAATGTGTTTAAGTGGTTTAAGGTTAAAAAACACATTATTTTCCACATACTGTACATTATTGTTTCTCCTCTATGCCCCGCCTTTCTGAAACACGTCGATTTTTACAAAGCTCATCGTTCTGATAAGCGAGGTATGCTCTGATTGGCCAGCTATCCAGTGCGTTGTGATTGGCCGAATACCTCAAGCGTGTGACGGAAATGTTAGGCCCTTACCATACTGTGATGCCATGTCCCAGACGGAGCGACGAGACAAAAACATTAAAACCCATTATAAACGAGGCATTTGTTTCATCCACTGGGGACATCCATCAGGAAACAGTCCTCCATAAAATGCGCTGCACACATCTGAATATTTGGGTGGAACTGTTCTGGAACTAAATACAACTTAACCACTGATTTCTAGTCATGTCCTCTTTTGGAAGGCCAAACAAAGTAGTTTCGCTTTCACAACGAAACAGTGTCTCCACGACATGGCGGCGGCGGCAACAATACTACAGCAAGAATAAAAGTTACGCCTTCTTTCTTTGCGTATACATTTGGGCGGTGTTATGCAAATCTTCCCACATCGTGACCTAGACATGTGGGGGCGTGTTTAAACGAGGCGTTTTAGGAGGGCGTGGACCAGTCTTAACTTTTATAAAGAATATCTTTTTGGGTTTGAGACTTTAGTCTTTGCAACTTTAGGGATCTTATCTATTCACGAACAGCTTGTAACACTCCAAAGAGAAAGGAAAACTTGAAATCGCATCATATGACCCATTTAAAATACTATGCACTGCACCACTCTAAGCAGCATGGCAAAAAAATAAATGCTTTTTTAGTTGAGTTATGAACCTTATGAAGTGGTACTAAATCTCCAAAAAGACTCAAAAACACTCCAAACTTCTGAATTATTGTTCATCGATCATGCTCACTAAATCGTTCACTTGATCACAGAACCAGTGAGACTGTCTGAACAAGTACCATTGGCGTGCCCAACTGAAATGGTTAATTGAACATTTATTTGCAATTTAATTTAAGTATATAGTTCGGACCAGTTATTCTTCAAGTACTAAAAGAACTGTTAATACAATTAAGGCTTCAAACCGTTAAAGCGCTAGTTTTCCCCAAAATGAAAAATCATTTGTCGTTAACTCGCCTTCATGTCATCTTAAATTGTATGACTTTCTTCTGTGGAACATAAAAAAAGATATTTAGAGAAATGTATCAGTGTTTTTTGTGTATACAATGCAAGTAAGTGTTGTCCAAAACTGTTTGGTTGCCAACATTCTTCAAGTTTGGAACAGCATGATAGTGAGTAGATGATGACAGAATTTTCTTTTTTTGGTTGAAACTGGAATCTGAACCAGTATAATTAAATTCCCTATGATTCCCTACAGCCCAACCACTTTACTAAAACACCACCGTTCATTAATTTTCACAAGCTGTATTGATGTTTCAGTATCCTGCTGTGCATAATGACTCATATCAACACAGTATTCATATCTGCTTAAATGTTGTGTCTCTGATTATTTCCCTAGGTGCCAAAGTGGCTGCTGAGGCATGCTTTTTTCTAAACACATTTGGAAAAAATGATTCTCACTGTGGAAAGACCAAAGGTGGCTACAGAGCCTGTACAAAAGAGTATGCCATCTTTTTTAATTTTCTGATTCAAAATAGCTCATAAAATTTGTCATAACACCCGTTTTTTAAGACTAAGCTAATACATCAAGCATAGATTACATTAAATGTATTTTTTCCTTATATAGAAACATGTTTTGTGGAAAAATATTTTGCGATGGAGGAAATGACTACCCCGTGACTGGTCAGAAAGCTGTGATAGTAACATTTAGGGGATTTTGCAACATAGCTGGGGACCAATCTGAAGAAGACGCCCTCAGCATGGTCCCTACTGGCACAAAATGTAGGCACAATAAGGTAAGCATAGAAGAATGTTATTTAAACTATGACGGCAGGACTTGTAGGCACAAAAATGAAAACTCTGGGTTATGTTTCAACAGGTTTGCTATGATTATATGTGCCAAGACCTGAATGTTTATGGTAGTAATGATGATTGCTCACTGCAATGCAATGGAAGAGGGGTGAGATCAAATCTCCATTTCACCGAAACCAATAGGAGGATGTCTTATAATTCAAAATATAAAAAGCTTTTGAAAGAATTAAAATGATATTTTATTATATTTTTGCAGATTTGTAATCATAAAAAACAATGCCACTGTGAGCCTGGATGGGCACCTCCTTACTGTGAAGTCAGATATTCTGAATTGCCATCCGGTAATCAAACAAGCTTTCTTTTCTGAAAAGCATGTTTAAATGTAGCACCTGTAGTAATGTAACATTCTGACAAATTCTACTCTTGTTTCCAATTTTTTAGGACAAGCAAAGATAATTGGCATCTCAGTAGCAGTTGCAATCGCTCTACTTGTACTTGCACTATGTGGAGTCTTCCTTTATTGTAAAAGAAGAAAAACCATCGTCAGCCACAAGATGTGAGTTGTTTGATTTTGATATGCTTTGTGACATTTATCATGCCCAGGGTTTTGAATGAACTGCAAGTGAACATTTTCCAGCCAGGAATGTTTTTATTCGCCATAAAACCATTCTGCATAAATTTCTGAATAAAAAAAAAACTTTTTGCCAATTATGTTGATAACTCTTGAAATCTTTTTTCAAAAGTACTATTTATGCTTTGTGTGTAAAACTTTTAATGAAGGAAAATTACTGAGTGTATCTTTTAAAAATGGGCCATGTTGCATAGCAACCACCCTGCCGATTTCTTGTAAATGTCTTGCAAATTTATTGGTCAGAAGGTGTGGGTAGCTGTGAGTAATGTAATTATAGTAGTCTGTCCGTTCATGTCACGTCTGTCTGCTTGTTTACAGAAAAACTCCATCTGCAGGGCAGTTGAACCTTCTTTTTGAGAACAACAGTGCCAAGAAGGACCGCCCTGAGATCAGCCAGCCCATATTCATGGGGACCACCATAACTCAACCCTGCACCCCTCTAACTGCAAGATTGGGCCCGACCCATCCTGCTCCACCAGTTAGTAGAACCTTCATTATGATGCAGCCTGTTTATTATCATCTTAAAGTCAAAAACTCTTTTCTCACTGAATGAAATGTAGTTTTTTCCCTATTTGAGACCTGTGAGTGTGAAATAAAATAGAAAATAGGGTTAGTATCAAATTTGTATTGTGTAGCCATACTTTTGTCTTTGTATACAAAATCTGAATCATACTACAGCTTATTCTGGATAGGAATGCCCATCTAGATGATGTGACTACCTGTCACAGTTTGTACATGCTATTTAGGGCTGGGAAAATCTAAAATGATTCATGCAATAATACTAGACTGGCATGGAAAGACTTGTCCCAAAATGTGAATGGAATTTCTGTTTGTTCAAAAGTTAAGTACTAGTTGTTTAAACAAGTTGAATATAAATGTCGCTCATGGAAATCTAGTTTATCACTACAGTACTTACACAAACGCCACTCTAATATTGTTCAAAGATTTGAATGCACACATGTTAAGGCATGCTGTATGTAGTTTACAATGTTTTACAAGTGCTTTCTAGTTTTGTGCACAACATATCAGGTATATGAACAGGCCAAAGCTAAGAATAGGTTTAAATACTTGTAGTTCCACCCATAATGTCCTTCCAGGACAGATAAGAATTAAGAAGTCTTTTCCCATCTCTCTAGAAAAAAATAAAAATACATTTGTACTCTTATTCTGCTTGCAGCTTCCAAAAAAGTCACCATCACAATCGCAACAGACCATAGTAAAACAGGTAAGATCAACTATTGATAGCAGAAATCCACCTTTTTGTATTTTGTAAAAAAACTATTTATGATATTTAAAATATTTCACACAATAATGAAAATTCTGACATTACTCACGCATGTTATTTTAAACCTGTACAACTTTCCGTCTTCTGTTGAACATAAAAAGAAATTGAATGTTTCTGTTGCTCAGCAGTGACCAGAGACTATCAGGCTATATGGCAAAATAATATATTTTCATATATATTTTGAAAAATATTTCCAAATATACAAAATATGGCCAAAAATATATTTCTAAAAGAAATTTTTAAATATATTTGTATCAACAAATGTGGGTTTGTGTATATATATATATATATATATATATATATATATATATATATTTAAAGTTTTAAAATCTATTTAAAAAGAAAAGCATTTGTCCAAAATGCATTTTAAGTTTGGAATGTATTTTGAAATATATTTTAGCATTTGAAAGATTAAATGAAAAATATTTTCTATTTAAAAAAAAAATAATTCCTTAATCCATGCTATATTTATTATATATTTCAAAATAAATTTTGGCCAGTTTGTGCAATATGGAAATGGATTCTGCCCCAAAACATCCACTATAAAAGTAGTATAAAACATTAGTATATAAAAATGAGAACAGTTGTATTAGTGCTAGAGTAAGTACATTATTAGCTTTGCTTGCTAGTCAATAGTTATCAACTATAGATACACTATTTCAATAGTTTCCCAATTCTAAGCTGTGGAAATCAGGGCTGATTTTACTTAATTACTTAAATTGTATTGAACAGAATTTGTACTTTACTCAAGTAATATTGAAACTGAAAACTTTTGTCCATTTCCAAAATAAAGAACATACTACTGTTTAGTCTTTTTTTTTAGTCGAAATACAACAATATTTTGCAGGTCATCTTAGGTCAAGTTCACCCGAACCCATTAGTTGAGTTATCTGTGGCTTCCTGTTCATTACCACTGAAAAGGATTTTCACTCATCCCCTAGTTCGTAAAGGCTTGTATTTTTGGTTTGTTACTTGACTTAAATAGACCACACCTATTTCATAGCATATATAACATGTTTATGTAGATTCATTGTGTTTGTGGACTTGTTAAAACTTTGAAAAATGTCTGTGTAATTATAGGGGATCAAGTCGACTCCACCTCCTGTTCCTCCAGTCAAACCATCTTTAGCAACAGGATCCTGGAGGACAGATCAAGTTAGTTACTTACATTTATTCTGACAGAGATTATGTTATCATGCATGCATATAACAGTTTATCTTGTAATGTTAATGTGATGCTTTATATGTGAGCAGCCCAAATGCTTCCATATCAGTACAGCTGCACTATAAGAAGGTTTACGTTCACTTATTCTTAAACTGTAGACTTTTCACATTGCAGGTCACAGGAGACACAGTCAAGGTTGTGTTGAGACCACCCACCATTCCAAGAAGATGACCAGACGTGAAATCATCTTGTGACTCATTTCAACAAATTACAGTCCTTCTTGTTCACTTTTATAGTGTGGGAGCGGCTGAAACACAAAGTGATTTTTTAAACAATGGTATAAAAACACACACATACACTGTTGTGTATGATGATATATTGTATATGTAAAACATTTGAATGTATGGCTGGAAAAATAATCAACAGGCCAAAATGCTTTATACCGTAATTAATTTAATTGAACATTTACAGACTATTGTGGTGAAGTGAATGTATTAAATTCTAAATATTTTTTAAAACTTTTTAAATAAAAGTTTTTATTTTTTACTGATTGCAAATGGAAGCAGTAGCAATGTCACATGCAGAATATTAGTAATAAACGAATCTCATAAAATAATGATGCAATGCTTTCTACTTTAATGAAATACAATAATGTCATTTTGCTGAATTGGGAGTTTACGACTATACACTGTGAAAACTTGATTTTTCAAAGTTGTAAATAAAATAATTTCAGTCTACTTCAAAATGTCATTTTTAATTCAATGTTAAACTTGCACTTTTAATTGTAAGGTTTACTAGCAATTTCTCATTAGGCATTATTATCAAATATTATTTATTCGTTAAACAATAAGTTGAAAAGGAAAGCTTTGAGTGGTTCTTTGTTTTTTTTATATTATTATGATGATAATTGCATCTAATTAATATTTACTACCAATAAATGCTTTTTAATAAGCTATATTATTATGATTTGAGGAGAGAAAAACAGGCTACACTGTGCGGTTAAACTCAACCTAAATACTGAACCAAAACCAGAAATGTTTCACTGGTTTGCTGACTTGGCCAAACAAAACTTTGAATTAAAGGTGTTCAATTTAAATAAATAAAAAATAATAATAATTCAAAATTCCCATTCCCTCTAAACATCTGTAATCAACTTTTTTGACAATGTCTTTTTGTTGCAGAATTGCACAAAAATGTATGTGACTTAAAAAGCCAGGGCACATTTTGCACCCATAATGCTTTCACACCCTGCTCCACAACTCTTGATCGGCCCAGATTAAACTGCACTTGTCTGATCCTGTACTTGGTGCTAAATGTTCCCAAACCTTTGTGACAGGCCGTACACTGACTCACATGCGCCTTTTTGATTCTTTCTGACGTGTGCCTCAGTGACTCCCTGTGATTCACAGGTGCAGCTGTTTAATTATCCTGTGGGGAGGACGGAAATACATCCTGGGCTACACTTTAAAGTAGACTATATGCTTGTCTTGATATTGTGGATAGATAGCTGACATCTGAGTAAAAGAATTTTTTTTTGATGTTCATAAAAACAGATGTGTATATATTCTAAGTGGTGTAAAACAACACTGGTGACGTCACACCCCTGTCATACATGTATGAAGTAATGAGATTTAGCTTTTGTCTAACACAAGATCTCATTATGGAAAGTGACTCAAATCTTTTTTTTTTTTCCCCTTAAATGTTTGTTCTGCTTCTACGCAGTGCTTTTCCTTTTGACATTTCTATTCATCAGAACATTAAAGGGGTCACATGATACGATTTCAATTTTTCCTTTCTCTTCGGAGTGTTGCAAGCTCTTGGTGCATAAAGAAGATCTGTAAAGTTGCAAAGACTAAAGTCTCAAATCCAAAGAGATATTCGTAATTATGTCCCCACTGGATGCAACAAATGCCTCGTTTATAATGGGTTTTATTGGTTTTGTCTCGTCGCTCCGGCCGGGACACGGCATCACAATATGATAGGGGCGTAACATTTCCGTCACACGCTTAGGGTATTCGGCCAATCACAACTCACTGGATAGCTGGCCAATCAGAGCACACCTCGCTTTTCAGACCGATGAGCTTTGTAAAAATCGATGCGTTTCAGAAAGGCGGGGCATAGAGGAGAAACAATAATGTACAGTATGTGGAAAATAATGTGTTTTTTTAACCTTAAACCGCATAAACACATTTCATTACACCAAATACACAAAATAATGTTCTTTTTAGCAGCATCATATGACCCCTTTAAAAAGATTGTGCCCTGGATTCCACAAAATATACAGCACAGTTTTCATTATTTCTAATAAATGTTTCTTGAGCAAATCAGCATTTTAGAATGATTTCTGAAGGATCATGTGACACTGAAGACTGGAGTAATGATGCTGAAAGTTCAGCTTTGCATCACAGGAATAAAGTACATTTAAAATATATTCAAATAGAAAACAGTTATTTTAAATTGTAATATTTCGCAATATTACTGTTTTTGTAATAATAGTTTAAAAAAAGGAATGGTCGCAAACTGATAGTGAAAACAAGATAAAACAGAGGTTAAATGTGTTGCTTCTAAAGACACATAAAAGCAAACGCAAACTTTTTTTGTAAAAAAAGTGTTGATCTCGTTTCCTGTCACAACCTAATTGTTGTTTTGAAGCAGAGAGGAAACCGTTTGTTAAGACATCAGTTTGCAAACAGAACAGTATTTTGTAATCTGTGTAATTTGTAAGATGATTCCTCTTACATGTAATCAAACAGTTATTATGTAAATATATTTTTGTTCTCTGATGAGTTCTTGTTTTGTTCACTTCTCAATTTTCATGAGCAGTATCCAAGTGCAAATATTTAAGACATGCTGTAATAGAGTTTATTCTTACAAATGGCTAAGTTTGTAGCCTTTAGTTATTTTCTGAGTCTTTTATAGCGACCCAGGTACCATAAAATTCAGATCCCAGTCCAGTAGTGTGATAAATCTTGAAGCACAATTGGGAAATATTTAACAGGACAGCACCTAAGCCTGTTTTGTTGGATTCAAAGTACTAGAGATCACAAGGTCTGTCCCTTTTCCTTAGTTGCAGTTTTCTGCTGAGTAGTATGTGTATGTCCTGCTGGAAGCACGATTCTCCCAGTCTAACACAGACTAACAGACAAGTACAGCAGCAGCAGCAGTCTCAAGATTCCCACACGTCCCCAAGACGAGGACAAAGGAGAAGGAAAGGTGTACGGGAATGTTTTTGCAGAACTGGAGTCAGTAGATTTGCCCCTAGGAACAACTTTAAGGTAGAGTGACTGTTATAATTAATTAATAATAATAAAATAAAATACAATAATATTAAACAAAATTATATACAATTATAGAATTAAATAAAATAGTGACAAAAACACATAACAAAAATAAAACAAAATAAATATTTACTATTTTAATTTTCACAAACTGTGTATGTATAAGTAATTACAAAAATATTTCTACAAAAATAAAACTAATGTATTTAAAAATATTTTAAATATTTTCACATACTGTGAATATACTGTATAAGTAATTACAAAAATTGTATGAGTAATAAAAATTATTCAATATGTTGGTAGTGTATATACATATGAATATGTATATATTTAATAGCCCATATTTTATTTGAAGATATGTCATAATAGCAACACCGTGACTTCAAATTGAATGTTTTCACTCAGTTAACCTATAGGTTTTAATGAATATTTAAGATGTCTAAAATGCACATCTAACTCATGGAATTATTGAATAATAACCCCATGATTTACAATAAGCATTAAATAAATAAAGAAATAAAATAATAATAGGCTAATAACACTAGTAACAACACATCATTCTTGGCCTTCTGTGTCAATTCCTTTTACCCCAGAGGTCTAATTTTTTTTTCTCACTTCAAAATAAAAACAATGTTTTTTACTCTATATATCTTAAAACATTAATAATGTGTTCACAAATTCCTAATTAAAAAAAATATATATAATTTTACATAAACTTCACATAAAATTACATGAGCTTTAATGAATATTTAAGATGTCTAAAATGCACATCTAACTCATGGAATTATTGAATAATAACCCCATGATTTACAATAAGCATTACATAAATAAAGAAATAAAATAATAATAGGCTAATAACACTAGTAACAACACATCATTCTTGGCCTTCTGTGTCAATTCCTTTTACCCCAGAGGTCTAATTTTTTTTTCTCACTTCAAAATAAAAACAATGTTTTTTACTCTATATATCTTAAAACATTAATGTGTTCACAAATTCCTAATTAAAAAAAAAATATATAATTTTACATAAACTTCACATAAAATTACATGAGCTTTCCACTGACTAAATTTTACAGCTGTTGATATTCAGGTAATAATACAAAATAGCCATTCATCAAATGTGTGAGATTTTTTTTCCATCCAAGGTCAAGAGAAAAGACCCACGTGCACTTTCCTATAATATTCGACTTATTTGTGACCCTGGAGCACAAAAGCAGTCATAAGTCGCACGGGTATATTTGTAGCAATTGCCAACAATACATTGTATGGGTCAAAATGATACATTTTTCTTTTATGCCAAAAATCATTAGGATATTAAGTAAAGATCATGTTCCATGAATATATTTTGTACATTTCCTACCGTAAATATATCAAAACTTAATTTTTGATTGGTAAAATGCATTGCCAAGGATTTAATTTGCCCAACTTTAAAGGCGATTTTCTCAATATTTTGATTTTTTTGCACCCCCAGATTTTCAAATAGCTGTATCTCAGCCAAATATTGTCCTATCCTAACAAACCATACGTCAAAGGACAACTTATTTATTCAGCTTCCAGAGGATGTATAAACCTCAATTTAAAAAAAAATTGACCCTTATGACTGGTTTTGTGGTGCAGGGTCACATTTTAGCTCTGCACAGTCTATAGCTCAATGTCATAATCACAAAACAGTGACCTCTATCAAGCTTCATGTCTGGCCTGTAAAGTGCAAACCCCGCGAGCTGCCGGCTGCTGCAGCTCCACCTATCGGTGGACTGGAGTTACTGCATCTCTGTCGGCATTGTCACAAATGAACACTGTGACGATTAGAGCCAACATGGCGGAGAGCGAGAGCTTGGAGACTATCACCGAACATGAGCGAATATTACAGGAGATCGAGAGCACGGACACGGCGTGCGTGGGGCCGACGCTACGGTGAGAGATGAGCATTATCTGCTCTTATTTACCGTTCAGATGGCGACGTGATGTTTCTCCTGTCCGATGGATGGAAAGCAGGCCTTTGTTTGCTAAAGATGCAGCTCAGCAGGACTTTATGTCATTGGCAATGCTGATGAATCTATCAAATAAAGTGCGGATCGTGTTGATGTGAATTCGTGTTTTTCCAGATGAAGTTTATGAATGATCGCCGATGCTGTACTGACACTGTACACTGCGCTCAAACACACAGTCAGTGATACAGATCGCTGTTTTCCTGTCATTCATCGTGTACGACTGGGGGACGTTATGTGCGAATTATTTGTTAGAATTCGCTAAGCATCTGTCTGTCTGTCTTAATAAAATAAGATGTAAAAAAACACCTGAGGCGAAGCAGCACAGGCCCAGTGACGGTCTCACTGCATTATGAATATGATAGAGCTGTCGACAGGTGGAAAGCTTCGAGAAAAATAGCTTTAGTTTTGCCAAATGAACGTCTCTGTCAGGTTAGATTCTTCAGTATACAGTCCATTTCCTTTTCCAAACACATTTCGGCTGCGGAAGAATGAAAGCTGATCAAATATGAGTGGGTGTGGCGTTAATAAATGAGTCTGGGTTGAGTTGGACATTAATATTCCGCCCTGAGCTCAGGTTGATCTCCTCATGTGATCTGTGTTTGAATAATTTCAGTAGAAAACATGATGACCCTCACAATTTGATGATTTCAGCGCAGTTGCATTTCATCATGTATTTCATATTTCATTAGAAACCATGATTTTATGATAATGCCTTTTATTCTAGTAAAGATTTGCTGTCTTTGGCTTTATGATTTCTGATGAAATCATGATTTCAGTAGGCTAGCTGGGATTTCTGATAAAATCATTTCGCTAGTGCTCATCTGCATCCCATCATTAGATCTTTGGCTTCATGATTTCTGATCAAATCATAATTTCGGTAGAGCTTAACTACTGTCCCATAATAAAGTCTCTGGCTTTATAGTTTCTGATCAAATTCATGATTTCGGTAGTGCTTAGCAGTGTCCAATCATGAGATCTTTGTCTTCATGATTTCTGATCATTTTGGTAGCGCTCAGCTGCGTCCCACCAGGAGATCTTTTGCTGTATGATGATAAGTCTTACTTACATTCCATCTCATGACATCTTTTGGCTTCATCTGATAAAATTATGATTTTTGTAGCACTCAGTTGTGTCCCATGAGATCTTTGGCTTCATGATTTCAAATAAAATCATGATTTCTGTAGCGCTCAGCCAAGTCCTGTGATGAGATCTTTGGCTTTATGATTTCTGTTCAAATGATCAGCTACATCTAACCAGGAAATATTTGGCTATATGATTCAGTAGCACTCTACTACATACCATCTCATGACATCTTTATGATTTCTGATAAAATTATGATTTTTGTAGCACTCAGCTGTGTCCCATAATGAGATTTTGGCTACATGATTTCAGATAAAATCATGATTTCTTTAATGCTCAGCGACATCCCGTGATGAGATCTTTGGCTTTGATTTCTGGTCAAATCATGAATTCGGTAGTGTTCAGTTGTGTCCCTTCATGGCATCTTTGGCCTAATGATTTCTGAGAAAATCATGATTTCAGTAGCTCTCAGCTGTGTCTCATAATGAGATCTTAATCATAATCATGTTTCTAATAAAATGATTTCAGAAGCACTCAACTGTGTCATGACATCTTTGTCTTCATGATTTAAAAAAAACAATCATGATTTCAGTAGCACTCATGAAGAGCATGACGTCTTTGGCTTCATGATTTCTAAAAAAAAAAATCATGATTTCAGTAGTACTCATGAAGGGCATGACGTCTTTGGCTTCATGACTTCTAAAAAAAAAAATCATGATTTCAGTAGCACTCATGAAGAGCATGACGTCTTTGGCTTCATGACTTCTAAAAAAAAAAATCATGATTTCAGTAGCACTCATGAAGAGCATGACGTCTTTGGCTTCATGACTTCTAAAAAAAAAAATCATGATTTCAGTAGCACTCATGAAGAGCATGACGTCTTTGGCTTCATGACTTCTAAAAAAAAAAAATCATGATTTCAGTAGCACTCATGAAGGGCATGACATCTTTGGCTTCATGATTTCTGATCAGTTCATGATTTTGGTCATGCTCAGTTCTATCCCATCATGATGTCTATGGCTTTATGATTTCTGATAAAGATTACAATCAAAGTGCGCACATCCAGCAGGCCAGAAGCTCAATGTGGGTGATCAACCACAAACAATGTCAGACCAGTAAGAGCAAAGTTGGCTCCAAAGAGCTGTGGTGTGCCAACTTTGCCCTTTTTTATGATTTCTGATAAAATCATGATTTCAGTAACACTCATTATGGGCATGGCATCTTTGCTTCATGACTTCTGATCAGTTCGTGATTTTCAGTCCTGATGTCTTTAGCTTTGTGATTTTTGATAAAATCAGGATTTCAGTAGTTCCCAGCTATATCCTATCATGACATCTTTGGCTTTATTTTTATTATATTAGAATTTGTGATTTTGTGAATCATGTCTAAGTAGCGCTCAGCTGCATTTCATTGTAAGGTTTTTGACTTTATTACACTAGAAATCATGATTTCAGCAGAACTAGAATAAAGTCGTTGTTGACAAAAAAAAGTTGTTGACATTCCAGTGCCTGCAACATGTCCTGAGGCCACACGTTCTGTGCTGACAGTCATGCTGATCGTTACAGATACTGTATGACAGCTGTATTTTCTCATTCCACAGATTTCAGATATGTTACCTAGTCCACGTAACATATTGTTTACACACAGCAGCAAGTCTTTGAAGGAAAGGCTCACCTGCTTCTCACAGTTATACCTTGTAAATTCAAAGGTGTGCAGAGAAAGTGCTTTATCGTGCGGTCAGCTTTTTCATTTGGGTTGCACTTATGTCTGTTAATTTGTCAGTATTAATAAATTAATGGATTTGGAATGGATGCAGCCTTTGGTGATTTTCCCAGGACACTTTTAATTCAGCGGACTGAATCAGAATCCTATTAGATTGAAATTAATCCTTCATTATTTTTAATTTCATGACTTTAAAAAGGTGTGTCCATCAAGTAAAAAGTGAACTAAAAACATTTTATAGCATTGTGTATGTTGGTTTTGAGACTTTAGTCTTTGCAACTTCAGGGATCTTATCTATTCACGAACAGCTTGTAACACTCCAAAGAGAAAGGAAAACTTGAAATCGCATCATATGACCCCTTTAAACATTATATGACTATTATTTAAAACATTACCATTATTTAAAGTTTTTAATAGAAAAGTTTTCAAACCTATTTTTAAGGTGAAAAACACTATAAAAAAAAAATACGGGGAAAAACTGCTATTTTAAAAGTCAGCATGAAATTAAATTTCACCTGATATGTTTCCTAAATGCATATTTTTTAAATATATCAAAATTAATTTTAATGCAAAAATATAGCAATACAAACCTAAAAGTGGTTTGAGACACTACAAGCAGCCTTCTCTCTATCTTTCTGTTATTTTAGCTTTGTTACTTATACGTTATCTTCAAAAACCTGTAAAAATTTTACATTTACATGGCCCCATGCACTGTTCTCTGACAAAAACCCAAGTGTAGTAGTAAACCATTTTCTCTTAAAGAAGGTATTTTAAAGAATGTGGTGACCAAACATTTGATGGCACCCATTGACTTTCATAGTAATGGAAGCATTTTTCAAATCTCGTTATTTCCTTAAACAGCATTAGGAAAACACTTCACATTTACATGATGAATGCTTTTGATTTCTGCAAAAATCCTGAAATGCACCTTATTTCCTAAGCCTATTTGCTTAAGTGTATATGTAAACACAGTGATTGACCCTCATTCAAGCTCATGTTATAAAAGGGTGTAGTTTGGTTTCATTTACTGCCCTGTGGTGGTTGTTAGATGTATGTAGACTTATAATGATCTGTGTTTTGTGTTTGAGCTGTAAGAGGAGAGGCTTGACTTTTACTCGCTCTGTGTTTCTGTTTCCTTCAGTACCTCCTGGCAGTTGTCCGGAACTTGCTGCTCTTTGGTCTGTTGAATTCAATAACAGGAAGGAGGAAACTCATTGTGAACATGGCCCTGCTGATAGTAGTTCTGTGTGCATATGTGCATATTCGCAGAAAGGATATCCCATTATGGGGCATAATATGATCTTCTGAAAGGCAGTGGATGTGGGTACCGATTTAGAAAGCTTAGCGCGTTTTGAGTAGAAATTGACCCTCAGCATTTTCCATTTGGCTGGCAGGAAAGAGCCGACCAGATAACTGCAACAGGGGTTGGATGTAAAAAAGCTGAGCGCATCTTAGTTGGTCTATTCCTTACATACAATACAAGCATAGTTTTCCATTTTTATAGTAGAGTTTGGACCAGTAAGCATCCACCTATCTAGGGTTGTCAAATTAAAACTCAAACTTAGAAAAAGTACGCAAAATTTTACATCCGAATTAGGGCCGGGTGATATATGATATTAGGGCTGCACGATTATGACAAAAATCATAATTGTCGATTATTCCCTTGAAATTGTAATTGCGATTATTAATTACGATTATCACAATTTACATTGAATGATGTTTATGCCATTGTTTGATGCAACTGCATGCCGTACTTTTATATCAAAATAAACAAGCTGAAAACACTAACTGAAAAACTTTGTGCTTTTCCATAGTATTAAGCCTCAGATGTCAACTATATATCGGATTGGTTTCTTCTTTAAATTAAATGAATGGTATTATAATGTTATACTAAAACTAAAAAGCTCTTTGGCTCTACCGCAAATTAGAGGGCTGTGAATGTCGTTTGCATTGCGTATATTTCTATTATTTCTATTTTTTCCATTTCAATTTTTCTGTATTCCGTTTTTTTTTTTTTTTTCGTTAAAAAGCATGTCTTATTAATTAAAATCATGGAACTTATACATTTCACATCAATGTATTAAAAGTTTAACAAAAATTACATGTTTAGGGCCCTATGAA